TGGCTTCACTGAGTTATGCAAGCCCCTTCGCCACGACAAGGCAGTGATCCATGAAGTGGTTATATGTGGACTTTTGAAAAAAAATCATTTTTTCCTTTGATTTTTAGGGAAGCTTATACAATATTACTGGACCAATGTTGATTTCTGTAAAAATTGGTACTGGAACACAAAGCTATAGTTTTCCGTTCCATACACCTCCAGAAAGATACCTTAGCCTTATATTATCAGTGTAAGCTGAGTAAAACACAAGTGCCTTATTTTGTTCCAGCTAAATCAGCCGCTGAGTTATCTTGAGCATAAGCTTTTAATCGCTGCTGTGCATTTTTGCTGCTGATCTTGTTAAATCCCTCTTTGACTTCCCTCTTCCTCCACAGAGCTCCACTTTGGGCATAGGGACCCGGGTCTGCATTCTACATGACATGTGAACTAAGGATAGATAAGCGCTGACTCTATTTATGCCTCTGTCTAAGTGACTTGTCAAGAAACTTTTGCTATCAGGAATAGTTATCCTGGGCTGGCTGACAATGATACCAGGAACAGCACATGTGTTGACCTTGGCTTTGTGTAGAGATAGCGACTGGAGCAGGGTTTCTCAACCTTGGCAACTTTAAGACGCATGGACTTCAACTCCCAGAATTCCCCAGCCAGCATATGTTGAAGTCCACACATCTTAAAGTTGCCAAGGTTGAGAAACCCTGGATTGGAGGCTTAGCTTTGTAGGACATGTCAGATAATTACATTGCTTTCTTTTTTCTGAAGGTTGTCATGACTAACAGGAACTATAGGAATTTGGCCTAAGAGAACAGGAGATCTTACTAAGACTTAATTGGCTAGCTTAATGTTCTACTTAAACCTGATGTTTATTTCTTTTCCTCTTCGTTTGTTTTTCCCCCTTGCGAACTTCTACGCTACAATTGCTAGCACTTGATATCTGTTTCTTTTCTTTGATCCTTATTATTTTCCTTATGACCCAAATTGTTTCAGGTTTTTCCGAGAGAGCTTCCTCTTCACTCCTCTTCTCTTTTTTTCTCATTAATATAGCTTATTTTTCCTTTTAATTTATATGTCTTTTTATTCTTTCCAGTTCAGTGGAATGTTTGTGGGGGGGGAGAAACAACATAAAGGAGCTTGGGACACGCGCTCTCTCTCTCTCTCTCCATTAGCAGGATAACTTTCCAAAAGCTGAATAGAGCAGGACCAAATCTAGTGTGGGAAGAAACTATCAAAAGAAGATTGAGTTTAGAAACATCAGCTTGTCGCTAAGAAGAAAAACATTCCAGAAAAAAAACATTCCAGTGTATCCTGATGAGAAAGGCAATTGGGCAGCTGCTTGCAATGTTGCCAACTCCTCCATTCTAAGCCCGCCTCCTTCCTGGTCACGTGACCCAGAGCATTGTTGTTGTTAAGGGGCTAGAAAGAATTCCAGGAGCCACTTTCTGAGTGCTCTTCCTACCTCGCTTTAAGTCTTGCGTGACACAAGGTTGTTGACCTATTTTATTTTAAACTTTGGAATAGCACAAGAGAAAACTTTATAAATAATGACAGTATTACTACTTCCTACAACACTTGCGCAGAATGCTTTACTGTCTTAACGTTTTTTAGGTCAGTTTTCCCCATGGAGGCTGAGAGGTTTGGAAATTATAGCTCTAGCACATTGGGTAGGTACCCAGATTGGGAAAGAATGTTCCCTTTTTAAACACGGGAGTCTAAGATTGTCAGCTCCTCGCTGATTTGTTGGCTGTATTAGCGTTTGAACCTATAATAATTGCATCATTAAGTCTCTTTGCTCAGAACTAGGCAATGTTGCATTTGCAAAGTCTTCTGGAAAGAACCAGGGAGTTAAATGGTCTCTGTATGTTCTGCTTTGTTGCTCATTTACGTAGGATGTGTACTGCAGTACTAATTTTTCACAGCAGTTGTTGATTTGAGATTAGAGTGCTCATGCTTTGCAGTTATCCCAAGAAACCAGATGAGAGATTATATTTGGAAAGCTGACTGTGTTTTCAAAGCCAAACTGAGAGATGTCCATAAAGCAGTGAAACTTGGTCAATTTAAGAGTCCTTGTCACATATTTGGGGGTTATCAGCTGTCTTATCTGGTTGGTTTTAGGAACCAGATAATTGCATCACAAAGTCAGGTGACTAAGAAGGGAAACGAAAGCGTAACATGTTTTTATAGAACAGAGTCAGTACTTCTTAGCATTTTATTTCACACAAACAGCATTTGTTCATTTTCCTATACTATAAATAAGGTGGTTTATGTTATTATTCAGCAGAACAATCCAAAACTGGAATGGTCACTGATCTGTTCTGTGGATACCTTTGGTGAATGGGATGTCACTCCACAGATCTTCCATTATGAGGAAAAGCTGAGCTCCTTCTGATTATTTGGTAAGTTCCATATTTAGGTGGGAAGAGAATGCCAAGAAATGAAATAACTTTATTGTGGTCATTAACCAGCACAAGAGAATGCCAGGATATGTGTCATGTTTGCAGAAGCTCCCTGATATCTTTGGGGTAGGGGGAAGGATCCTTTCATCCTCTGGACAAAGAATGGCCTAGCTGAAGAATGGCTTTGTAATTGTCCTTGTCCTTGGAAGAAATCCACTTCCAGCCTGGCTGGGGGATTCTGGGAGTTGGAGTCCACCCATCTTCAAGTTGCTAAGATTGAGAAGCACTGGTCTAGATCTAACAAAATTAGGTGCTCACAGGATTGGTGGCCTTTGTCAAAATGATGAAAACAGCATTACACTGCAAGCCTTGTCCTTTCATAGAGACAGGCAGTGTCGCCTACAGAAGGGGCAGAATTTAAAGGCACGATGCTACTTTTATTCACCGGATCCCCCTCTCTGGCAAAGGCCTCTGGACTAAAACAATGAAGTTGCATCAGATCTGCTCTGTTGCTCTTCTTTTGAGGATGCTAATAGTCTTATTACCAGTTGCAATTCATCCCATGCTTGGTCGTTGGATTTCAGCAAGTAGAGAATGAAATCTGCAGAGTTGGAAAAAGAAACTCAGAAATGGCCCCCTCCAGCTGAGCTGCACCTTTATAGCAAGTGCGTTGCCTCTCATTCATAACTTGGTGAATTAATAGGTATTTGGCAAACTTTTAATTCTCTTACGAGTGATATTTTCCAGGTGATAACAAAGGAATGCATGCTAAAGCTTTAAACTGAAGGTTTACTTAGTGGATTGAAGCATTTTTTATGAGAAGTTAAAGAAATCTTAATTGTAGCTACAAGGGAATATTCTCTTTCACTTCAATCAGTACATATTAATGACAGTTTCCAACAGAAATAAGTGAAAAATGACAGGTAAAAGTGGCAAAAGACGTGCTTGGAGAAACTGCCGGTCTGTGTCTTAGTCCTGCATTTTGCTTTAATTTGTGTTCCTTATTTTCAGCAATAAAGTAGCTGCCCTCTTATCAGGCTGGAGAGTGGCATAGCCCTCATCAATCAAGGGACTTGTCATACTGCTTGAAAGTTATCCTAATAGTTGTGTAATTGAGCAGTGAAGCAGATTATCAAGGGAATTTGTGTAATTGAGAGGCTGCGTAAGTGTCTATGAGGAATATCTTTTGTAGAGTACAAGGAACTGCCTTTTCTGTTTTGCACCATTCAGCCATTCCAACAGCATCATTAAAGGCCTTCTCCCAGGTCTTGCTACCTTCTTTAAATTTAATGAAACAACTGTGGAATCTGCATTTATCCGAGTAAATAATCTGTGTTCATAACAACTCAATCATTTCCTTTAGGAATGAAATACTATGAGGCTTATATATAATTCCTGGAGCTTCAGTTTTTTCCTGTGAGTTACTTATATTTCTTGTATGGGCAGAGATGGAAGCTGAATCAGTAAGTACCTGATTGTTTCCTTTGAGAATATACCCTTATGGATTGCTTATTATTTATGTTATTTATACTTTCAGAAATTTATAAGGCCACACACCTCTATGACAACTGTGGGTGGTGTAAAGTAAAAACAGATACAGAAACATTAAAATGAAAAGAACCCCCAAACGCCATAAGAAAAGCAACCATTAAAAGACAAATTAGCCTGTTCTTCCAGATGTATTGCTTTAGAGAATGTCAGTCTCTAAGTCTGACAGTGGGTAGAATTCTCCTAAACCAAGTCATTATTTTGAAAATTAAAGATGTATAAAGCCTTGTTTTTGTGTTCAGTGTATGTTTGGCACGATGAAGCTGAGGCCTGAAGCTTCAAGCCTGCCATAGACAGTTTTCAAAGACTAAGCAAAAAAAGAAAAAAAGTATCTACATGTGAAAGAGGGTGAAAAGCTGTGCAAGCACTTACTGAATGGGTAACAGACTGTGTCCCTCATTGCCAAAGTAGTCAGTTCCCTGCTTTATTACTTTATTTATTTGATTGGATAATTGATTGGTTGATTGATTGATTGATTATATGCCATCAAGGCAGTGTAGACTCATAGTGACTACATCAGTTAGATTTTCTCCAGGACAATCTGTCCCTCTCCTGGCCCTTCAGGTCTTACAGTGGCGAGTCCATCATTGTGGGAATTGAGTCCATCCACTTTGCTGCTGGTCATTCTCCTCTTCTCTTTCCTTCCACCTTTCCCAGCATTATAAACTTCTCCGCAGAGCTGGGTCTTCACATAATATGTCCAAAGTATGATATAATATGTGCCTGCACATTTGTGCCTCGAGTGAGAACTCTGGGTTGATGTGTTTGATGATCCATTTGCTCTGTGCACTTGTTTAATCATAGGAGCACCATCACGCCAGAGCTGGAGAAATGTAAATAGCTAACTCTGGGTATCTGGGTTAACTTCTCCCATGCCTTGAATGTTTTAGATTCTGCTCCAAACCGTTCTTTATCCCAGGATCTCTCACCTCCTTAAGACTACTGGATAGCTACAGCCAGTTTGGAGGGGGGGAAAAAGACACCAATTAGACTGTAGAAGGCGCAATTGTCAATCCAGTATCTGATTACACTGGGCAAGGTGGGAGCCAGTTTGGAACTGAGCAAACATGCCCTGCACTCCAGTCTTCAAAATGAGTGGATTTCTTCCCCCCTCCCGCTTTATGATCCGGGCAAGCCCTAAGGTCCTTCATCCCCCCTAGCTGCCTAACAGCTTGAGCCTTCTCCCTAGTGAGATTTAATACCTTGCCTTCAGTGTTGCTGACAAGGGATAGAACAGCATCCAGGTCAGGACCAGGGTGACTTTGAGCGAGTCCCATGTGTTGTTGTGCTGCCCTTTCCACACAGGCTGGCATTCAGACCTAATTCCACTCCCCGCTGCTAAATTGTTCTTGCAGGTCAAACAAGGAAATGTGTTATTTCTTTCGGCTGACAAACATGTATGCAGAAACCTCTGGAAACATAGCTAAGTTCTGTGCTGTTGCCAGTTACCATTTGGAGAGAAACTGTTTAGGTTCCCCAACTTCAGTCGGTTCAATTTGTTTATTGCTTTGACCATGGGTCACGATAAAAACTCCCCAAATTCACACGCCCTCCTCCCACACCACTGATAATTGTGACTTGTTTCACATTTATCTCTATTTTTATAACTGTCAGTGGTTTATGTTTTATATTGTACATATATATATATGCTAATTTCAGAAGTTAATTTCTTTTTATGATGCTGGTTTATGACCATAATAAACTGTAATTGTCATTCTCAAGTGAGATTTCAAAAGTGAGATTGTTCCATTATGATCACCATATGAGTTGGCTCTGGAATTTTTTTATTTAAGATTGTACCATTGTACAGGATCCTCAGTGGCATACCCAAGCCATGTGTTGAAAAAGGTTGCCAACCTGCAAGGTTACAGAAACTATTAATCTTCCTATGATGGAGGCAGAGTTCTCTTCTTGATTCACTTGACATAATAATTATTTTTGTTTTGACAAAAACGAAATGCTGATGTTTTCCAATTTCCAGAACAAATTCCTTCTTCTTGGCAATTCATATCCTAGCAAAGCATTAGGAAAGAGAACTAGGGCTAAAATTTATAGGGGGGGGTTAGGACATTTTTAATGCATGTTTCTGTTTTAATTATTTATGGATTTTAGCCATTGTTGGAGGGATTGGTGTCTTTTCCTTTTTTGTTATTGTGAGCCGCCCAGATTCCCGTGGGGGGGGACGTGGGGGGCATACAAGTTTAATAATTAATAAATAAATAAATAAATAAATAAATAACCAACCCTATCACTTGTTCAGTTTAAGATTCAAGAGCAGCTCTAGAATTGTGGATAGGCCTTTTTCCAATTCCCATATTGTCTTTATTCTTGCATCAGTTAGTCAGTTTGGTGTATACAGTCTACATACTAAAGTTCTGAAAATGAAATTTGATGTCTCGTTTTTAAAGAAAAGTTCCACAGCCTTTAGACACTAATAAACTGCCTGCAGAATAACTGTTTAAAATGATCAGGCACAAACTGACCCATAGCTGAAGCCCCAGTGTGCATTGGAGGTATTTATAAAACCAGTTGTTTACAAATTTCTTAGTACATTATAAAGATAAATTCCTTTTAAAGAGAACTATCGTAGACCAGCAAGTAAAGTTAATATTTTGGATCAATATACATTCCATGATGTTGCTTGATAATATTAATTAATTAAACTGTATCAAGGCTGCTATCTTTAAAATGTTTATCATTTTCAATTGTTTGCTTTGTATTTTTCTGACTCCTCAAATAATTCATGTTGTGTTTATACAACAGGCTAGACTAAAAAGTGGTTGAGTAGGTCATCAAAAGTGGTTTGCTGTGTTAGCCCTTTGCTTAATTTGATGAACTACAGTTTAACGAATCAGGGTTGTAGTGGCTTGCTGTGACCTGCTGACAGAACGAGGCTTCATAGTACTGTTGTGACTAGGATATGTAGTATGTACATATCCAGCAAGATAGATTTAGGGTGCAAAGTTTTGCAACAGTCGGAAAGTTCATTTCACATTACCCATTAGTATCCCAACAACTAACATATAAGCAACAGAAAAGAATTTATGAGTTGTTTGAGCAAACAAGAGCAAGAATACAAGTAACTCAAGTTCCATTGAGGAGTTTATCCAAAATTTTGGATGGTTCTCCCTCTGTTCTGTGATGACAGTAAACTCAGCTACAAGTGCCCAGCAAATTCTAAATTTATATTTAATTCTCTCTTGCATGAAACCAAAGAGGCAGTTTTTAGAACTACTCCTTATCTGCTGGACGAATAATTTCATTTAATATTGTATTGGTCCTCAGACAATACCGATTTGGCAGAACAAACCCTGTGGTTCATCACGCAGTTTTGTGAGAAGAATTGGGACAAACCTTCCTTTAAAACCATGTCCTAGGGCTTCCTTCCAGGTAAAATTGTGTATTTCTGCCACTTTCAGGGGAGGAATGATTCTGTTCAGTTCTATTCAGTTGTGAGTTTGGGGTTAAAACAAATGTTTTTAACTGATAAAAGGTTATTTAATATTTACTAATATTTTTACAACTTTTTTTGGAAGTCTTTACTCTGTTTATTCCATAGCTTTCAGATTCTGTAGAAGGCTATTAGAAGAAAGGCAGTGTACCTGCTAAAAAGCTCTCTTTATTGACTTTAGAACATGTTTTTTGGTACTTAATGTAGAAGTATTTGCACAAGGTAATTTACAGCCCGGTTTTACATGCATTCAGGAGATTAGTACAAACAAATAAGATTGCTGTCTTCAGAATCAAGTGTATTACTTACAATAAACATCAGATATGAAATCTCAAAGGCTTACTTTGATGATGGAATAAATTATACAAAACCAGAAGCCAACCCAGCCATTCCAGCATTCTAAACAAAATGATCCACTAGTAATCACCAAATCTTCAATGTTGGTACATATTCTACAAGAGGAGAAAACCCGTTATCTGTCACACCTCAGATGGCATCCACTGACCTTCGAAACTAAATGCCATTTTTAAGCCTGGAATCTTAGGAGATCACTCTTAAAATGTCAGCGTTCTCATATTTCCTGGGATCACAGGAATGAGAAAATGGAGCTTGTGTGAGACTTAACAATCTGAAAAGATCACATGTGATTGTTAAACATTTCATGGGGGTGGGGGCCGGTGCCTTAAATGGTTGCCAACCCCTGCTTCTTCCAAGTGAGGACCTGTATCTTTGCTGAACCTCACTTTTGTTATAGTTCTGTTGTGGCTCCAGGATCCATTTATGTGCACAATACTTGCATAAGAGTTGCCTCTCCAGCTGCAGCAAAGTTTTCAGAAAAATAATTGTCTTACCTCTTCCTCATCGTTTACATCACTATAGGCTTCAGAGGTCGTGGGTTATATGAAGCGGCTTTTCTAGCTTCTGGGCAAAGCACACATGCTAGGAGGTTTTGATGCATAGTGTACAAACACCATCCTTGCTTAGCCTCGTGTGCAGAATACCTGCTATGGGCTCAAGTCTGTAGGTTTCATGATTGTTTCCAGCCTCAGAAGAACTGAGTGCCTCCTTTTCAGCACATTTTTGCAAATTAGCCATGGTCCGTAAATGACCTTCACCCTTGCTGCCGCTCCTGCGGAAATTGCCCACACCTGATTTTCTCTAACAGCAAAGCTGCTGCCATCATGCTGACAGAAACAGTTGAAACCGGAGAGCTAGCTCGTTCTCAAGGGAAATTTGGACTTTTGCAAAAGAACAACGAATTTATTATAGTCACAAAGACCAGCAAAGCAAACACAATAAGCGCCCCTCTTCCCCACCCCCCAAGAATCAGTCAAAATATGGGCATTCTCAGTCAGCATCAGCAAATACTTGTGATCATTTAGAAAAAGCAGGCACTGAGTGACAGTTGAGTTGCTTCAGCCTGTATCAGCTTATTGCCTGGGTTTGCAAATTTGGTGTGCTCTTTCCAGATGTTTTCAACTGCAACTCCTATACGGTAGCTAGCACGGCCAGTGTCAGGGATTACAAGATCCCCTAGCTTACAATATCTAAGAAAGGCATGACCAGCTGGAATCCAGAACAAGAGACTGCCTGATTGAGGGGTGAGGATATGCCTGTTTCAGATTATGCTTCTTTTCTAGGCTCACAAGGTGTTGGTTTTCTGCATCCTTCCCTAACTTGGCAGATGTAACTTCTACAATTCCTAGCCAACATGGGCCCAAAGATGAAGCAGGAATTATTTACAGAGTGAAGACCTTCCGCAGAACAGTGCGACAAATTTGTGCTGAACTAGCTAATGAGGTTTGTGTCCTGCTCTTCTCTCCTCCAGACACTACCAGACATTTCTGATTTCTATTTCAATGACACCCCCCCGGTCCCCACTCTGGCAGATGTTGCCTGGATTGCTTCTGATGATGAAGAAACATATGCTAGAGTCAGGTATGTTCCTTCTCCTTTTCATCTTCTACCCTTTTGACTTTTTCTCCTAAAGAGTTAAGGCAGGGTCAGTTTAAGTTTCTTTCTCACGTGATGATCTTGTCGTAGGCTTAAACTGTGTTTTTGTAATTGCCGTTGCATAGCTTCTCCATCTTCGTGGTCTCTTATAATTGGACAGCCAAAGGATCTTGGGCAGGATCAGAGATGACTGTGTGCTTTCATCTGGTTCACTGGGACTGTCCAGCAGTCCGTATTCTGAGAGCAAGACATGATTCTGAGAGATGATGGGTGCACATATATGCCCCATTGGGACCACCTTCACCAGATGTGTCTTTGTCCAGAGTCACCCAGCAGATGCAGAGGCCAGGAAGATATGTTGTTGCTTTAAGGCATTCCCAGCTGGTGCTTTGTGTGCATCTAGAGCAGTGTTTCTCAACCTTGGCAACTTTAAGATGTGTGGACTTCAAATCCCAGAATTCCCCACTCACAATGGCTGGGTTGGGGATTCTTGTGGGTTTAGT